TACAATCCTGTCCAACAGAACTTTTCTACAGTGATGGAAATTGACTAAATCTACACTATCTAATATGGTAGCCATTAGCCACATGTAGCTCTGGAGCACTTTGAAATGCAGGTGGTACAAGTAGGGAACTTTGTATTTTTTGTTGTTTTTTGAGACGGAGTTTTGCTCTTGTTGCCCAGGCTAGAGTGCAATGGCGCCATCTCAGCTCACTGCAACCTCTGGCCCCTGGGTTTAAGCAATTCTCCTGCCTCAGCCTCACAAGTAGCTGGGATTACAGGTATCCACCACTATGCCCAGCTAATTTTTTGTATTTTTAGTAGAGATGGGGTTTCACCATGTTGGACAGGCTGGTCTCAAACTCCAGATCTCAGGTGATCCACCTGCCTTGACCTCCCAAAGTGCTAGGATTAAAGGCGTAAGCCACTGCGCCCAGTCAGAAAATTAACTTTTTATTTGAATGAAATTAAATAGCCATATGTGACTTGATGCTTTTATATTCAACAGTGCAGAAGACCTTAATCCCTACTGACTAGACTCATAGTAGGGATCAGGACCAGGTTTGTCTTCTTCAAGCCACACATGCCCATCATGTTTTCTGCACTGACCATTCATGCCTATTTGAGCAAAAAGACTTCAGCAGTGACCCCATACCTGTTTTGGTTACAATAGAATAAGTTAACCAACAGACAGAAGTTGGAAAATGGAAGGCCTCTCCCAGCTTTACACCCAGAGGCAGGGAGAGGCAGACCCTTACCAGAAAGACCTCCAGACCTCCAGTAATAACACAGATAGCCACCCACTATTTCTTTTTTTTTTTTTTTTTTTTTTGAGATGGAATTTCACTCTTTGTTGTCCCCCAGGCTGGAGTGAAATAGCACAATCTTGGCTCACTGCAACCTCTGCCTCCCAGGTTCAAGCAATTCTGCTGCCTTAGCCTCCCGAGTAGCTGGGATTACAGGCACATGCTACCATGCCTGGCTAATTTTGTATTTTTAGTAGAGATGGGGTTTCACCACGTTGGCCAGGCTGATCTCGAACTCCTGACCTTGGGTCATCCACCCAAGGTCTCCCAAAGTGCTGGGATTACAGGCATGAGCCACTGCACCCAGCCACCACCCACTATTTCTTAAGGACTTATTATGTGTGAAGAATTGTAGTAAGCTTTACATATATTACTTCATTTCATTTTCACCTCAACTCTGTAAAGCACACTTAGCCCCACTTCATAAATGGGAAATGGAGGCTCTAAGAGGTTAAGTGACTGGCCAAGGCCACACAGCTAAATTGAGGAGCTGTTAACTGCTATCACTACTGACCCCAGGCCTTGAGATTACTTATTGATAAATTTCTAGAAAACTTTAGGTAAGTCTACCCTAGACCTCTTGAAAATGGCAGCAGGAAGGTAGGCCCCTGTAATGAGTATCCCAAGTCAGATGTGCAAAAGGACTTAATTTTAATAGAAGGAGAGGGTGGTGACCTCCCAGAAGAACCTCCTAAGCCAGTGAGATTGTTGTTTGGAGTATGTTTCTTCTCGCAGCCCTTATTTCTTTTTAGATTCTGAATCAGAAAAGCAAAAACAACTTTTGAAAATCAGCATGACAAGCCATATCCCCAGCTGTAAGCCTGGAGCCAGGCATTGACAAAGTCACAGCTAAAAATCACACCTAGGTTTTGTTCATCCTTCCCAGGTAAGTACACTGACAGGGTACCTCGCCTCCCCCAGTTGTCGGAAGAGGTCTGTACCTTCCCTGTACCTACCATTCAAATAACCCTTATATGTCCTTGGAGGAGGTATTAGACTAGTTAGCCATTCAGGCTGGTAGAAGGGTGGGGATCAAGAAAAGTGGAGGCAAACAGGACCAAACTTTCCTAGCTGAAATACCAATCCTACTGAGGCAGTAGGTCCATAAAAGCAGAAGCAATAGCCTTTGACACCTAAAAAACAGTAGCACAACACCAAAGGTGTGAAAAGTAGCATAAGATTAAAGGTATGAAAAAAGCAAAGAGGTCAGGCACGGTGGCTCACGCCTGTAATCCCAGCACTTTGGGAAGGTGAGGAGGGTGGATCATGAGGTCAAGAAACCGAGACCATCCTGGTCAATACAGTGAAACCCCGTCTCTAAAAAAGAAAGAAAGTAAAGAAAAGAGCAAAGAACGGCCATTTCAATGAAAGGCATGGGGACATGGAGCACAGGGGGACTAATATGCACCAGAGGCATTATTTCTTTTCTTTTATTTATTTATTTATTTTGAGACAGATTCTCGCTCTGTTGCCCAGGCTAGAGTGCAGTGGCTCGATCTCAGCTCACTGGAACCTCTGCCTCCTGAGTAGGTAGTCGCGTGTCACCATGCCCAGCTAACTTTTTTTTTGTATTTTTAGTACAGACTGGGTTTCACCGTGTTAGCCAGGATGGTCTCTGTCTCCTGTCCTCATGATCTGCCCACCTCACCCTACCAAAGTGCTGGAATTACAGGCATGAGCCACCGTGTCCAGCCGGCAATATTTCTTACTTTACTCAACACTCCCGGGAAGTCAAATCACAACACTTTAGTCTCTGCCTCAACGCTCCTTCTCAATTCTTACATCATTAGGAATGGGGGGCTTCCTTCCTCCCCAAACCCCATCCTGCAAGTAAATGCCAAGGCCCCAGGAAGACAGCTAGGTCAGCATGTTGTGGCTGGCCACTAGAGGGTGTTGTTTCTATAGTTAAGGGGATCTTGAAAGGTTACAAACTTGGATGGGAGTGGCAGCCAATAGGGACTCAGTATATGAGGAACCCAGTGGAATAGAAAAGTGGGAAAGGCAAGTAGTAATTCTTAGGATAAAGGTCCTTAATAAGTGAGGAATACGGAATAGGAACAAGGTAGGAAGAAACATTCCCCACCAAATACCACAGCCATCACTCCTTGGAAAAGGAGATATTGGCTCTGAGCTCTACCTAGATACACAGAAGTCAACAATAAGGCGGGGCGTGGTGGCTCACGCCTGTAATCCCAGCACTTTGGAAGGCCAAAGTGGATGGATCACTTCAGGTCAGGAGTTCGAGACAATCCTAGCCAACATGGTGAAACCCCATCTCTACTAAAAAATACAAAAATTAGCCGGGCACGGTGGCTCAAGCCTGTAATCCCAGCACTTTGGGAGGCTGAGGCGGGTGGATCACGAGGTCAAGAGATCGAGACCATCCTGGTCAGCATGGTGAAACCCCGTCTCTACTAAAAATACAAAAAATTAGCTGGGCATGGTGGCACGTGCCTGTAATCCCAGCTACTCAGGAGGCTGAGGCAGGAGAATTGCCTGAACCCAGGAGGC